TTCCCCTCTTCAAGCCTGGATGCACTGATTACAAAGAAGAAGGTCAAAGTGATTTGGGGTGAAACACCCAGAAACAAATGTCCTGTTTGGTGAACATTTTTCCCCCCCAATATGTGTTTTTTTTTCAATTTCTAAATATACATATACAGCTTACTTTACTGCATCTCCTTTTCAGTTTGTTTTTACTTAAATCTTTCTTTGCTATAAAACTCAAATGCATTAGCTCCTTTTTCCTGTTTCCGCAGTGGATATGAAAAGGGAGTATGAATATGTATGCTGAAGGAGCAAGGATATTGCCTATGGTGAACCGCTATGCATAATGCAGCTTTTTCTGTCTCATCTAGATTCATTCAGACATGCACACACACACCCACACACACACACACACACACACGCACACACACTGAGATTCACACAATCACGTGCATAGAAAAACAGGGCCATAAATCCTTCCAACACCCTCCCTTTCCAACTCTTCTTCCCCTTCATACAGTCACACACACAAAGTTGCATAAATGCATTTCAGATATCACTAATAGATTTTTTCCACAAGTAGTTTTTCTATGTGTTAAACCATGTAACTCTGAAGATAACAGCAGACAAAACACATTGAGACAAATAACAGCTGAAGTGAGTGGGAATACACCCTTGGCACTTGCATAAAAATGACATGGCATAAAAAGCACAAGATGTCATCATGTTTGATAGAGGGAGGCTGCTATACGATGACTTCAGATTGAGACATATATGACAGTTGGAACACTATGGTTCAATATGCAGTCAGAAAATAAATAGTTTCTTATAAACAGGAGTTTCTTTGCAATGGTTCAATGACTAAAGGAAAAACTGCATGATATATACACATATATATATATATATATATATATATATATATATATATATATATATATATATACATATGTATGTGAGCACGTTCACTGTATAGGCAGGGGAGATAGGAAGTGTATGGTAAACAACTCCAATACACAGTTTGTGCAGTGTCAGTAAAATATTAGGCAGCTATTTTAGCATTTGAAAATTCTCATCTCACACTTCAAAAAGATGATTTCCGCTGTTGAAGTGAGCGCCTCAATAGTGGATTTTTTTCTCCCTCGGAGCCTGAGCCATACATTTTTTTATAGTAAGTACCAGGAAGAAGAGGGCTGATGGTCAGTATAGCTGTTGCATTCCCCTCGGTTTCATTTTTGTGATTCAAGACACTTTTAAACTGACTGTGCGTAAAGGAGAGCGCACTGGACAACCGGACGTATGAAACCTGTTGATATCACTCAAAATTCACCTCTGTGTGACTTCTGTGACTACAAACTTGTCGTTGGACGACATGTCAGTGATGTCTGCATAACATCAACACATAATGAGCCTAAATCGAACCTTGAAGCTGCCTCTTAAGTCATAGATATGAATGAAGATGCTCACTACAGTAGCTTTTACGCACCACTGCTCACCTGATTTTAATTTTATTTTTTTATACGATTTAACACAAAATAAGAGAAAGGAATCGAAAATCTGTTGTTGGGAGACTTTGGTGTTAAACTTTCTTGAACTGCTGCGCCGCCAAATCAATCTCAGAATTTGGAATGTCGCCTCACACCAGGTCACCAAAAGATGTTTTTGCGCTTCCAAACAAACGAAAATTATATGACAATGGACATTTGATAAAGATCAGAGACTTTTTTTTTGTAAAAGCAGAAGACGAAAGCAACTTGGCTCGTGTTTTGTTTAGCTGCTTCCACTCGAGAAAAAAAAGTTGAGAAACAAACGACCGGATAAATAACCCGTTTAAGCTTGGCATATAGCATCTCCGACAAACATCAAATTTTCCACACTTTTATGTCATGGTTTTTAAGAGCGAAATGACAGCCATATGTGCGGTCAAATTTTCACTGATCCTGACTTTTCCATTCCTGACGAAACATCTGTGTGTCCGCCAAACGGGTGTAGCCAAGTAGCCGGCAGTCTGACTCATTCCGCAGTTACTATGCTCCCCTCCAAGCACTTCTCCTCTTGTCTGAAAATATTTTGCTGCCAAATTTACACACAGTATCCAGTAAAGCTCAATGAATTAGAATACGGTCTCTTTAAAGATGAGATGCCAAAAAACTTCCTCTGAGACCTGACACTTAAATGCATGGTGAAATATATCTGTCAAGACTTTTGAAGATTAGCCTCTAGAACAAATATAGAGATATAATAAAATCCACGAATTGCAAGGTTAGGAAAAAATAGGACAAACATAAAAAGAGGCTGCAAACTGAAAATGCGACGTTTTGTGCATCAAATGTAAAAATCAAAATACATCTATAAAAAAAACTTAGAGGATAAAGGGTTAATATTCTCTTTAATGTCAGGAGCCTATACGGATGGTCTTGCAGCAGACAACTCGACCAAAACTGGATAAAACCGGAATCACATTAATTGATTAAATAATTATAACAAGAGCTCTCAATCCATCTGGTTCACTACACTTAGTTTTCTCTGAAATGTGAACAATCATGAATTGAAAGCTCTAGAAATGCAAGGGAAAACACTAGTCTCTTCCTTTACTGACTTAAAAATGTGTTCATTGCAATAATGATTTTAGCTTTTCCAAAATTCTCAGGCCCTTTTCTGGCCTGGCAAGCCTGGAAGAAGATTCCCACAAAGATATCAACTGAAAATGACTTTTATTTCTTTACAATGACAAGCAGCCAGCTAAATCATGAAAAAGAAGAATGAAGGCACTCCCTACCTCCCCTGCCACTGTCTATCTTTCCATCCCTTTGCTCGACCCTTCCTCTGAGCACTCACGGGTGCAGGTGTACTGATATGTAGGTAAACTAAAGCAACAAACACCAGGTTATGGGGAATCTACTTATCGACAAATACATTTACAGAAATAAAATGAATGTTCCAAACAATTGTCTGATGTGATATGTCTTCAGCGCAAACGTCAAAAATAAAATGAGCAGTGTGCCATTCTGAGGCGCGGCAGGAAAATACGCAGTACTGATGCATATGCATGTATGATAATAGACCTGCCCCCCACCCCCACTCCTAAAATAACAATTTTTAAACAATAAATATCTATCAAAAACATCTCAACCAGATTAGATTATGTATCCCAGTGATTTTGTGAAAGACGAGGGGGAGCATGGCATTGAAAAGCATGGGGAAATTGACGTTTGTTTTCCACTGCGTTATCTACATCTCTCCCATCTCAAGCACTCTTTCCGCTCCAGTAGCTGTTTGCACCCCCCACCCCCAACACACACGCACGCACGCACACAACTCTGTTCCCATCACCACACACACATACTTTGAAAAGCACACGCTCACTCGCAAGCACACATAAACACACATGATGCATCTCGTTCAGTCACGGGACACGGCGATGTACCGTGAGTATAATCGAAATAGACCCTGTAATCCAATTACATACAACAAAAACTGCACAGAAGTCCCCTGTGCAGCTGCAGCCTGGCAGAGGGCACTGCCAAGGCCAATGATGGCTACTGGATGGAACAGTCATGTAACCTACAAATACAAGTACACACTTAAGACTATATCTCAAATCACTCGACTGAGAGGTGTTTCTTTATTCTCAAGGATTGTGTTTTAAAGCCATGCGTAAAGGAAACGTTTGAACAATAGTGCAATATAAACTGTTTTTTTTTCCTTCATTTCTTTGTCCATCGACTCCTATACAGAGCAACATATAGTCACACCTAAAGAGCGAAGCATTTCACGTGTGTCAAAAGGAAAAGGAATCATTATCTCGCATCTGCAGTATTCATAGCAAAGGCAATCAGCAGAATCTCCTGGCACATAAAATGGTGGATGTATAATTAGACCAGGAATGATAACAACTGAGTCTGTACGCTGATACTTATACATTTTATCAAAGAAAACCAGCCAGGATACACGATCTTGCCTCTCGGATATCCATCTGGGGCACTTTATCTGTCAATTTAAGGCCAATATTCAATACCCCCAGCATCACTTCACACTCCTAAAATGTACTGGCTCTTGTTGCCCGACAGTCACACACAATCACACCACAGACCATCTTTGCATGATCAAGTATTAAAAAGAAAAACAGAAAAAAAGAACTAAGTGATTATAAAAAGAATGCTTTAACCCCAAAGGACTCCCTCCCTCCCCTCCTCCTAACCAACACACGCGCGCGCACACACACACACACACACTCGCTGGCAAATTGCTCGTGTCGAGACAGGACAGAAAAAGTCATGAAATACATTAAACTCTTCTGCCCCCTTGGAGTTGTGAGGGTAAACAGCCCGGAGCTGTGGTCAGCATCAGCGCTGGAGGTCGCCCCTTGAACCGTGCGCGCGGCTGCAGATTCTTATCAGTCTCTCCGCCTATTCAACAGCCTCCATATTCACGACACCTCCACATATTCATCATGCAAAATGCAAATGCCGGTCCCTTTTTTCATCGTGGCACTAAAGCAATCTGAATCCCACTTTTTTTTTTACATCTTTGTTGGTTTATCATTGCAGTCGCTCAATTGAAATGTGTGCTGGTTTTTATGCAAATGACGAGCTATCTCTTTTATTTTCATTCACCTAATCACAGAATCACTGCGAGGTGCTGAAAACGTATGATGAATCCGAGATCTCGCCCAGGAAAAAAGCGAGAGCAGATCAGGAAAGATACGTCTCAAAACATCACGAAAAAGTTGTCCGTCTTTCTTAAAAGAGGATTTGGAGTTTGATTTGACATCCCTGCTTCATCTTTATGACTATTATTCAAAAGACCAATGAAATTAAGCACCCAGACACATTAATCAAGCACGCACAGCCAACTTCAGCATTGCGCTGTGGAGGGGACAATATTTAAATGGGTAATACTTGGAGAGACACAATTCAAGCCTACCTTCTTGCAAAGAATACAGCAGAAGTAAAGTTACAAGCCACATGCCATTAAAAGCAGTTATATTTCATAGGAATGTTGTGCAGTCCCCAAGAAGAGTGCACGGATCAGCGGTCGGCCAGGCGAGACTCCGTGCTGGACTGGTTCAGCAGATGCTCCCCGGCGGTCTCTCCAGCCCTGGTCCCACACTCTCCAGCGCCGAGAAACGAGAAACCGAAAAAAGAACCGCCTCTGCTCCCCCTTCTCTCCTCCCCTTACCGGGACAAGCTGCTGTCGCCCCACCCCCGGTATCCTAATGATGCGCCGTATGTGAGGAGATAAGCACTTTGTAGCTGCCACTAATAGAGAACCGAACACAAACCTCTGGAACCCCTGTCAGGTCTGTTTATTCGGTTAAGTGAGAGAGTTCCTTAGGAAAAACTTTCAAGTGCTCCTTCTTGCATTTAAGTTAAGGGGAGACGTGGGCATACTTGCACTGTGCTCTACCTTCTTAAAAAGTTTTTTTTTTTCCAGGTGAGTGTGAGGAAAGGAGCGCGTAAAGGCAGCAAACACCGTTTCCTCCCTGCGCTCTGGCACCACCCGCGTCTGGCTACAACCTGTGGAGCCCAAACCCCATTTCCACCTAATAGCTTGGATATCACACATATAGGTGTTAGCCACAATCAACCATTGTGTGAACAAGAACACAAGGATTGTGTGCACATGTTTGACTAAGATGGTCAGTAAATTAATTCAAATCTGTTTAATAATATATCTCTGCTTCTGTCCCATTCACACTTGAATGGACCCAAAGGTCCATTACTTAAATGTCTTTGAACAAAACTTTCAATATATCCACTTAAGCATGTGGTTTGTGAAAGTCTTCAAAGACTAATGTATGTACATATACATAAAAAAAGACAAAAAAACCTATTTTCCACAGAAGAATTTATTAATTCACAATGTTACTGGAAAATGAATCATTCAAGTGTAAAAAAAATCTCATAACACAAAGCGTGACTGAGTTATCTTAACAAAAGGCAGCCAATGTCAAAAGAAGAGTCAAACTAAATGTTGACCCTGAGCTTCTTCGATTTGTACCAAGATTTTCAATATATTCTTGTACTTCTCTTTATAATGCAAAAAGCTGTAACACCTGTTTTACTGTCCAAAAAACAAGGGTAACACAATGAGTGTATGAAGCAGAAATTTGCATAGACACAAAGACAAATACCACTCAAGTATTTCAGCATAGTGGCAGTTTAACAGACACCAAACTGCTTCAAAGAGCAGACGTTACAGGTGATGTTCTGCCATTCAAATTCTACAAACCAGTTTTACATGTTCTGAGGGGGCCCTGGTTTCCTTTTTATCTTAGGAGTAGTACAGCAATCATTAAAAAGAGTCATTAACAAGAGTTTTTTTTACAGTACATCAACTGGCAGCACATCCCCCATGGCAGCCATCTTGCTTCTTACTGAAGTGACCATGGGCATTGTCAGTTTTGATTTGGTAATGTCTGTTATTAACAAAATGTAAATATAGTAACTGACAAATGTAAAAATGTATAGTTTTGGTATGTTCGCAGAAGTAAATAAGTTCAAAATGTACCAAAGTCATGTATTTTTGTGTAGTTTATAATCTAACCTCCTCCAGAATGTGTTGGGGATTGTAGTTCAGCTGTTCCATACCACCAAGAGAAACTCCCCTCAGGTTTTCTCAGGTGTATTAGTTCTCAGATTTCACTCAACCTGCACTTCACACAAACGCTAACCTTCTGCCTATTAGTCTGTTTTCTGCTGTGTATAGAGGAACATGGCCAAAAGCAGCCCTGGTTGTGGAACAGACCTGAGGCATGCTGTGGAATTCTCTCACTCCCACTGAAGAACCGTTTTAGTGTGGCAGGCAAGGAGGCACAGCCTGCCTCCACTTTTCATTATGTAACAGGTGGGAATACACACAGAAAAACACATCCTGTCTCTCTTCCTTTAATGCACGTGTACGCACACACAATCACAAAATTGTTTCACACATCACGCATTATAGTTGACTGATGTGATTACAAAGAGTGACCACAATGGCAGACCCTGTAATACATTAAATATATGCAGGTTCATATTTTATGGAGCATCAACACTTGATGCCTCAAATTTTTTAGCTTTAAAAGCAAAGTAACATAAGATGGACACGTTTCCTGTGGTACCTCAAAACTGTCTGCAAACAGTCTTAGCAGAATGTAATGACATATTCTACACCTTAATACTCTTTCTTATATTCCTCTAACAAGCTGGACATCAAACCGAACCAAACGCATTTAAGGTCTTTGATATATCACTGAGCTGCTTGCATGATAACACACAAAGTCTGTCTTCACAAGGGAATATGGCAAGCTGGTTAAGGGGATGATGTGAGCTGGCCTGACAGCACCAAGCAGGTTATTCTGTATGTCAGCCAGTGATCATCATGGAGACTGACAGGCTGAGCTGGGACAGCCAGGCTAGAAAAAAAAAAAAGTAAGCAGCTCCCAGACAGCTCCAGTGACTGTCAGTGAGGACAGTTTTCAGGACAGGCCACCACGCTGCTAAAAACCACAGCACTGTGTGACTCATCTCCATCACACTCCGCATCACTCTGCCCTATTGCTGCCCGGAGATGGGATACCAGAGCAGCAGAAGTGCAAGAAAAAGATAGTTTGCTGACAGAAGAAGGATAAAGACGCCTGCAAAGCAAGGTAAAGGTGGGGATGAGAATGTACAAATGGCGATGCAGATAAGTTTATGCTTATGTTAATGCCCAGACAATCAGAGTCCTCCCTCAGGCCCTGACTACATGCTAGGACCATATTAGTGTTAATGTATCCATTATTAATGCACAGCCCAGGGACCAATGAAACCTCTGCAATGCCAGAATTAAGTGAGCGGGCTGATGCTACTGCTGATAAGCTCTGTACAACATCACAGAGATAAAAATAAATAAATTAGAATGGATAGCAAGGCAAGAATAGGAATGGCAGATTACTGTCATTGGAGGGAAAAAGCAAATTGTTTGATTTGTCACATTAAAAAGTCATCATGTGCCATCATGGAAGGGAAATTCAACTTTAGAAACAAAAAACACCATGGTTTGGGTCAAAACAGAGGTGATGCATAGTGAATGTGCTGCCAGTGCTGCAGGAACTCTTTCACAGTGTCGCCAATCTGCACGCGTTGTCATATGAACAAGCTTCTGCATTATAGGCTAATATGTATCACACACAACTGTGCTGCAGCACATTAACGGGGAGGCTGCCAGCCAATCTAGAGTTTGCCTTGAACCAAGCATGCGTGATGGTTGGAGCACAAAGTGTATCAGCACATCTGAGAATGTTTCTGCATGACGGCAAAGTACAGAACATGTCTGCTCTCCTTAGAGGTGTGTTTCAGTCCGTGTGTTTGCACATGCGGGTCTGTGCATGACAGTGCATGCACACAAGACATCAAGGGGTGTTAATTTATTCAAATGAGCCGGGGAGGATAATGAGAGGATGGGGCGAGAGAGGGAGAAAGTGTATTTGCTGTGGAGGGGGGTAAACCATCAGCTGGAGGTTCATCATTCCATTTTTCTCCCCCTCTTCCCGGCTGTTTTTTAAAACATTTTCCTGATTCACAATATGAGAATATTTGTATAGCTGGGGGAAAAGTAAGTGAGGTATAATGTGGACTGATGCAATGCTGAAGCATAGCATTTAGCACCTGCACAAAAAAAAAAAAAAACTATGCCAGGGCGATGCCACCACTTCCAAGATGGCTGCTGCTGGAGGCGTACTCAGTGGGACCAACCTAGAGAACGACTGTGCTCACCTCCCTAACGGGTGACAAACGTACACCAGCGTCTCAAGTTTACTCCTCAAGCGCAACCTGTCAAATTTTCACAAATAGAATTATTAGCATTTTTATTTAAATGTGAATACATGAATGACTTCAGAAACTCAGCCTGTACAGAGATATCGATCAGAGACATCTAGTGACACCCAGTGGCCACAAGTAAGGATGTTATCGTTTGAAATCACCCCTATCTTTCTGTGACGCAAACCAGTTGCAGCCTCCAGTTCCCAGTCCGGTTCATAATTCAGTACTGCTCAAAGTGAGGCCAGTGGATCTATTCATTCTTCTCTCTTTTAAAATCCACTTTTGTTATGTTTGAGCTGTATTTATAAATATATCAAATTCTAGTTCAAATAAGTACAATACCGTACAGTGAAAGTTGCTTGTCTTGGCAAAATGTCATCGTTAAGAAACATACTAATCATTGGGATAATCACATGATTATTTTTAAATTATATATTATTCAAACTATGAGGATCATTTAGGTCTTTCTTAAAGTTTTGTTAAACAGAAAAATGTTTAAATAATTGTTTCAATGAAGATGCAAAGGAAGTGGGTTCTACAATTGAAAGTTGCATATAATCTGGTCAAACCAGATGTATGGATGTAAAAGACAGCACAAACACAGACAGGTGGCAGGTCTGGGAGGACATTGTGGTCCATTTGTGCATTCATTTCTATGACTTTCCCTCGCTTTAAAACTCTTTGGCATGAAATCAAAATGTAGCAAAGACACAAAGATGTTGATGGCCAAAGATCCTAACAAATACGAAACAAAACTGCTGAATTTGGAATGTACAAAGTTGGTTTGCTCCTTACAATAAAAAATGTAAACCATAAAAGCATAGAGTAGGGCACCATTTATCTTTAAGGAATTCTGATGTAGTAGCTATGACAACTGTATTTGTTTACTATGCGGTAACCAAAGCCAACTTAAAAAGAAGGGATGATATTAATGTATCACATTGATAGGGCTATTTCTTTTTTCTGGGAACAAAGCTCACTGGAGTAACAACAGTTAAGGATTGAGCTGCACAGTTTGCAGGCAAGTTAAAAAATTCTATGACACATGCCTTTCTATGACTATTTTCAAGCATGGAAAGACAGTGACTTTAAAGAAAGAAAAAAAAGCTTGCATGTCATGAAAAGATAAATCAGTAGTCAATTTTTTTTTTTTAAACTGTCGATCCTTCTTTAAGTGTTCCATTCTTAACACCTTTCCTTAAAGAGTGTTATACTTCTCTCCGTGTTTTTTTGTTTCTCCCTCCCTGGGTGTACTTTTGTCAGCAGTTTCTGGTAGCCGCTCTGATAGGGCATGGGAACAGGATCTGATCAGCACTCTCACACCTGTCCAGCATAATGTGCCTTAGTATGTGTTTGTGTTGCTCTCCTACCTCCTTTTTTCTCCTCCTGGCACGGAGATCTTATCATGTCAAGTGAATGCTGTGACAAATGGCTTCCCATGCTTAGCTCAACTGAAGCCCTTATGGAAAGCAGCTGACTCTAGCCCTGGGGGATTCAACCGCTGAAACCGCCAGCTCCATCGCTAGGCAGCAGGCTCTGTTAACTTTTACAGCTCGATCCTTCAATTTTCCATAAAGACTGGAGGCTGGGCAGTTTTAGAAAGTGATGGAGAAACCGAGTGAGCTGGGGGTCCCTGGGACTCAGCCAGTTGACGGATCCTGTCTCTCCATGTAACGACTTATTTATTCATGGATAATTAACTAAGCGTAGTTTCTGGCAGAATGATTAATGCTCTCTGTCATCTGTGCTGTAGAGATGAAACACACTGTATGCCGTCAACTGGCTCTAATGTAACAGTGGCAACGCGAGAGGGCTGTTAAGGGACTTTCTGAAAAAAAACGTCCATTTTCATATCACGTTTCAGATCTTTACATATTCATCTCAGTAAAGCAAGTGAGTCTTTCTTTTCTATTGTCATTCAATATCGCTTGAGTCAGCAAAATCAGTATTTCTGCAATATGCATGGTTTGTATCTCTGACGATATTTCAAATGTTTCTATTGTCAAAGTTGTGTAGTCCTTATTTCGTAATAAATAGACGAGGCATGTTGACTGAGTTGGCATGTAGTTATACTCCATAGCTCCAGCATAACTGCACACAGTGCTACATTCAACAACCACTTGAACGCCTCTTGTGGGGCTACCAGACTTGCACCTGAACCCTGTTGCATGCTGGGTAAAGGAGTTCTAGAGCTTCCTTGCTCATAACATCACAAAAGTCATCGTCCCCAAATGAGTTCCTATCCCAAAATAGTTGCTGGCACTTGATTTTACAAGTCAGCACCTTCTCAGTTCTCCGTACTTGAAATGTGCGATCAAGCAAGTTCTGACATTGAAAATGATAGTCTGACGCCATCTGATGGTTATTTTTGTTAACACACCACAACAAACTGCCATGACTGTAAAAATACATTTCAAATAATTTGTCATCTTCTAGGAAACGTTTAAAAATGCACTATTATCTATTATTTTATTGATTAATATTTGATCTCTCATGCACAATAGTCTTTGTTTGCCATGGACTGAATACTTTTGGCCTCATTCCGATTTTAAAAAAAATTATAAGAATTTACTTGTATCTTGTCATCAAAAAAACTTAACAGTTTTTTTTTTACAGCAAAACTAACATTTATGAAGCAGCAATGTTTTTTTTAAATATCTTTTTGATCAGTTTCATTCGATTGTTTATTTATTTGCAATCCACTTAGGTTTTAACATTATGCCAAAATCTACATGTTAATATCCATTTTTACTAAACACAGGACTTTTACAAAAACAGTGTAATGGCAGAAATGTGACTTTGGAGTTCAACTTATATAAAAGGCATTCTGCACAGATTGTGGTAAAATTAATTAAAAAATACTTGTCAGCATGGAGTGTTGGGGTATCCTCACTGGGTAAGAACATATCTGTGCATGTGAGTAGTTTGAGCTGTATATCATTTCCTTTAACATTTAAAATAAAGTGATCCATATCACTTTTTTTGTATTTACACATTTCCAAAGGAACTTATACTCAGTTGAAAGGAGAAATGTAATTTTATCATGGGGGAAGATTTCCTGCAAAGGAGAAATTCATAATTGTATTACAACTACCATTGGTGCAATAAATTTAATTCAATTCCTTAGAGACAGATAAAAACACAATCCGGTTCGAAACACTTTATTTACACAAAGGCCTTACATTCTTACACACATATTGCTCTACAACTTTGATGCACATCGTTGCTCTCTCCTGGGTTCAATGGCTGGTCATGTTCACTTCATTCTTCCTCATCTGGAACACGCTTTGGCTGTTGATGATAAAGTTTTATTTTCATGATATGCTGAAATATATTTCTACATTTTTTGTATTGCAATGGTAAAAATAAGCTTATTTTAACTTGTTGATATACATGTTTCCTCAAAACCAAAAGGTGTCACTATAAATCCATTTTGTAGTGAGTGCAGCTGCAGCCTTACCTTGGGTTTGCCACAGTTTCTGATTCTGTTGCCTGAAAAGAGATGAGGATTGTGTTCATTTCGAACACATGCACATAGCCAGTATTTCTGCCACATATGGCACAAGCCCACTATGGTTACACATTCATGCATTGATCACATGTTTAGCTGTTCTATCTGTGTGTGTCACTTCTATTTTCAAGCCCTAATATACAGACCCATGCAAACACAAAGCACACACATACAGAGAGTACTCCAATAGCTTACCAAGCAACAGCACGAAGGAAAGGAACACAACAACTCCGGCAAAGGTCAGACCTCCAATACGTAGTGTTTCATAGTCTGTCAATTCAAATAGAACATTATAACCAAGTTGTTGCTGTTAATTATGATTTTTGATATGCTCCATATATTGCTACTATCCATATATTGTACTTTTGCATTACACACAATTTCACCATTTTACTTAGTTTCTATTAGTTGTTTTTCCTTCAGATCTCTTTTTCTTAGTTTGTGTTTTTCACCTGTTATACCTCTATACACCATAATAACCATCAAGGTTTTCTTGCAGAGACTGCATTTCTTCTGGCAGATTGAGGTACTGTTTCATATCATCAGATACTCAATTAAAGAGGTAGTTACTCACCATATACAAAGTCTGCATCATAGTCAGTGATACCATCTGGGGAGAGACAGGGGAGGGAAGGAAGTAGAAATTCGGAAGAAACCTCAATGCAGGCACATATTTGCTTTTGTCTCAAGATGTATATTTATGGGTAAGGTTCATACTGCTTGTTTTAGAGTAGATTATTAATTTCAATAAATACAAAGACCCACTGTTTAACTGTGTGACAACTAAGGAACTGGGCTATAATCAGCATTTTTAAAAATATTCTTTAAAAAGGTTTTCATTTCTTATAATTGTAGGCTGATTCATATATCAACCTTGTAAATGGTTTGCCTCTGCTGGTGTTCCTTCCATGGTTGTTATTTAACTTGCAATAAAACTTTGCTGCATGAGAGACATTAGCGCCGCAAAGATTTTGTCAGTGCAGAAAACAATCCTACATGACATGTTTTCATTCACTGTCAAGATGCCAAGGAAATGTGAATAACATATGTTAATCTGAGATGAATTTTATTTATATTACCCTGTAAGAGGTTAACACTTCAAATTAGAGGAAAACAAAGATGACCTTGAAAGTGTGACTGCATTAATATGGTGTCATGTTAAAGTTTTTTCTTTTTATCAAGATTCTGAAGCTCAGTTCAGCTTACCTTTGGAGGAAGACATGTTGCCGCGTCTATGTGTGTATTCACCTCACAAAACTGAAGGACACAATAGAGACAGTTGACAAAAGGCCAGTGATATATTCAAATCCATTTATAGTGTTCCATTAACAAATGTTGCTTTAAATAATTCAGTGGAGACCTTTGAGGTATACACCATCAGTTCTGACATGTACAGGCTAAATTTGTATTTTTTCAAACTAAATGAGAGAATTGTAGAAGCTCATTTACTTCTTTGTTTTAGATCAGAGGTCACTGAAAGACTTGGGAACTCCATACTACATGTCCAGACAAATAGGCTCATTTGGTTGCACACAGGAGTATCAATGTTTTCCCTGATCTACAATGGAAATTCTTAGCGGCTAATGTTGTTATTGATCCTCTTTCCCCACTTCTTCAGCCCTCATTCCCTCACCACATACAAGCACAGACAGGTTTCTTATTTGATCAACACGATCTGAACTGAAATCATTACCTCACACTGATTAAAAGACCAAGATTTCCCTCGCTGTGTCCATTTTGTTCAAGCACACCACTGTGAATTGTGAACTTTCAATTCTTTCATCAATTATGGTCTCGGCCTTTTCACTGCCCCACTGAGCACAAGGGCTTACAGGGAAGTTACTCATTAATGTATTATAGCTCAGCTATCCATTAACCTTCAACCTTGAGTAGTGTGATCAAGGTTAGAAATGTAGCATGAAATAGTCGCAACGGTGACATGTGCCCACCCCTACAGCGATGTTTGGCATGCTGAAAGCCATCATCATTGCAATATAATTTTAAAAAGGTATGGAAAACATCTTGCAAATATCCTTTTCGTCATAATTAGTTGTTAAGTGAGCTATACAAACACTTGGTTTGTAAGAAAAAAATAGATTTCCTCACACACATGCTGGTAAGCATTTTTACACAGAAATTCTCATGTGCTAAAAGGCAAATGACCCAAAACACTGAATAGATGTACAGTGGTAATCCTACAGTTACAGTTCATGCCAATAGGTAGGCATCATAACTGGATACATCAAATTTAAAAAAATTGATGCAAGCAACGAATAAAAACTCACCTGAATCTGCTGAAAACTGTTTCACCTCTGTTCAGGTGTTGCTGGTAGCGTGGTGTGCAACCAAAATGCCCAGCCCAAAGATCCACCCTCTCACACTCAGACACAAGTTATCCACGCCTCCTGCCATTCTTCAGTCCAGCAGCTCAGTTACATATTGACAATTTCATGTCATTAGTGCCGATAAAGAGAAGAAACATTCAACCTTTGGAGTCATAGCATAAAAAAGGCAGCCATGCAGGAGAAGAAGTCACTTCCTGAAGCCTAGTCCCATAGCCACTGCTGGCAGCCTAACAACCTTGACTGACATTGATACATTTTTCTAAGATTAAATTCATGTGTTGCTCGAGGGCTGGGTATAAAATAATGTGTTCAGGCCAAAACGCTCCCAGAGGAATAGTGGATTCTGCTCTATTTCTACTTAAGATTATAATACATTTTCTATAAATTAACAAACGTCAAGAAACAATCTTTTTAAACACATTTTAATTTATGCCAAAAGCACAACAGGCTGTTACACAACAAGGCCTCATGCGTGGAATGTATGTTCACATGTACAGCAGTCAGAATCTAAACAGTTAAAGTTAGAGCTGAAGGCAGATTCACAAGGAATGTTGGATTTATTTGGCTTACATTGTCCTGCTATCAGTTCAGTCTGACAGAAATATAATATCAATTCAAGATCTCGCCTCTATCAAATCAGCACCCAGGCTTTGTCTCTCTATCAGAAAATCTTTGTTATTAAGAACATCTTTGTTATTCTTAACATAGCAACATAAGAAAGAAAATTAAAAAATTTAATAACCAAACAACAAAATAAAGAAAGTTACCCCAACCTCACAGACTTATGCCAGTAGTGAGTGTGAGACGGGAAGGTAATCATAGCCTTCTAAAGAGTAATTAATTTTGAGGGGGCCAGTGATGCAGCAGTAGAGCAGAAATGCAGAGAAAAAGGCAGTGAGACAGCTGATGTGGGGGCTCTCTCCACCTCAGATGGTAAAACACTGTGGTGGAGGAGCCCATGTTGGTACCTGCAAACTACTCACATGCTCACTCAGAGAGCTGTGGCAGCTGAGATTGTCTCATACAAGGTTCATCACATCTACATGAAGAGATACACACGCACCTGTGATGGGTACACAGTTAAACATATACACGATATACATGCACATAAACAATAGCATCTATGTGTGCACCCAAACAACACACAACCATTCAAACATCAATGTGAATGGAAGACATGTAACAACAGGTCTCATATACGAGCTATCTATATTTATATTTTCAAACGTGACAAATATTACCCAGGACAAGAAACAAAACAAAGGACAAATTGACAAATCCTGTAACCTTAAGTGAATCAATACGTGTACAAAAAGAACAGCAGACCCCACACCATTCAAAAATGTTTCTAGGATATCAAAGACAATCTTTTGTCAATGAGAATCTGTCACAAAAAGGCACAAGAAGACAACAGCACAAAGTTACTGGCATACTCACAACAAATAAACAACTAACACAAGATCTATGTACACATTATACCCCTAAATATACTTCCTTTCTTACCCTGTCTCATAACCAGTTACAATAATCTTCAGTTACATCAGTATTATTAAAGTGGCTAAATATCCTAAAAACTGGTCATCATTTCAGAGGGGGATCGCGGTCCTGTGACACCGTTTCAGTTCTCTGCTGGAGTCTCTTTGGCAGCTGCTGCAGCTGAAACAAAAAGTGGAGTTTTAGTTTAAACCGAAACGCAAGTCCTCCAACTGCAATTGTCACGTAAGTTGTTTTTTTATATCCTTCAATCGCAACTACGGAAAAAAGGCTTCAAACAGCCATGTCTGCAAAATGTATTTCCAGGTTGTGCCAGTCATTTCTTCAGCAAAAAACTCCATGTAGAACAGAGCAAAAACAATCCTAAAAACCAGAGTAAAGCATGGTTCTCCAAGGATCACAGAGGTGAATAAAACTCATCTTACCCTTGGAGACGATCAGATTCTCCTCCTGTACCTCTTCAGTCCCGGGGGCCCTGTGGAGAGAATCCACAGGTTGTCATAGTAACTAAATCATGCCATACGAGTAAAAACACATTGTTTGTTTGTTTGTTTTTTTCGATCAGAGAAGGGCAAAAGCATACCTGGGCTTCTGGTTGATGCTGCAGCGACATCGCCGACCTAAAAACATGCAAAAACAGTTTACTGTGAAGCTCAAAGGTTGAAGCAGATATAAGTAATTAATTCATCAGTGCTGACAGAAACTGACAAGATAAAACTGAGTACAAACATGCCGTCAAATAACACTGCAGCTATTTTAGTAGAAAATAAATTAACTGATCTTCAGAAGGATGTAATAGATCGAAATAATATGTAATAGAAAATTACATGTAGTGCTGGCACAGGTTCACTTACTAAGGATTAAGAGAATGCCCAGAGTGAACAGAACCACAGCAAGTACCAACCCTCCAATCCTTAAACTCTCGTAGTCTGTAAACATAAAAACAGTTTTTGCGTTGAGGATACTGATTATATTAACATTGATGTATTCACGTATACAATTTGGATGTTTTCAGAGATATTCTAAAACTTACCGTAAATAAAAGGATTTTCAACTATTGCTTTGTCATCTGTGAACATACAGAAAAGAAGTGCATCTCCACTTAAATGATTTAGTCCAATTTTTTGAAAGAATGATATTTTAATGTTTCTATTCTGAAATTGATTAATGGTTTTTGGGCATTTTATAACAAATTCATTCTCTAATAATAGAACCTTGATAATACAACCATCCCAATTTTAATGTGAGCATGCATCATTTCTGGACAATAGGGTTCCAAATTACAACAACGTATAACTGCAATGCAACGTATAACTTATTAAAGACTTTCTTAAAAAAATGAACATCAGGTGTTATTCCATCAATAAAAACGTCTTTCTGTTTGGACACTGTTTGCTGTAGTACAGCAATCCCTGCAGGGTTGAGGTCAAATCCAATGCATCCATCGATTGAATTGTTCATATTAGACCCACCAGAGACCTGATGGAAGCACTCACCCTTTGCACTGGGGTCTGTTTCAGCTGACAGGCAACCAAAGAGAGGAAAAGGTTAGAGTCAAAAAATGCAAGGACAAAGAACAGTGGGGAGGAAATGAGTTGGTTTATCTACGAAAACATTATCCATTTATTACCAGATAAGCTATCATTTTTGTAGCTTCAGATGGTGTTGTATGCCGTAAAGAAGCCTAACACACAGTCAGTGTCACAGCCAGCCCACACAAGCCTTTAAGTGGTAATTGCCATTTTGTTACAGGTCACGCCCAGTGGGGGGAAATTTGTGAATTACTTTCTGCCACAATACCGCCTCCTTTCGTACAAATGCTGGATGTGCAGACTGGTATGTGTTATGAATGTGGATAGGAGTGTGTGTTTCATGAGTAGAGGGGTACTTACCAGCCACGCATACCAGGAGTGAAGAGAGGAAGAGCAAAACAGTTTCCATGGTAACTGCTGACTCAGAGTAAAAGAAAAAAGAGGTAAGGACGCAGACAATGAATGAAACATAGAAAAAAATCCAGTGATAGAGGTAAATACACTACTCTGCAGACTGATACATAAACAATAACATTGATCAAATAGTTTATGTTCCCTGTGAGATTATTACCACCTAACAACCATTGTTGTGAGCTCTGTAGCCAAACTGATGTTGAAATGAAGAGGAAAAAATGCTCTCCTTTATCTTGTTCAGGAATCCATGTTCAGAGTCATACATGCTCTCTTTTTCCTGGCAGAAAATATTCTCTCCTCCCTGTGGAAATCACATAACCTTGGCCTATTTTCAACTAGGCCGTTCAGTGTACACACACCAATTATGTCTCCCAAAAAATGTGAAAGGAATCAACGACTGGCAATTATATCCAAATCTTAATAGATTTTTTAAGCTGAATTTATTGGCAGTTTAGTTGTCATTCTATGATATCAATAAACCAAAACAAAAGGGTGATAAGGATATTTTTTCTAAGTTTTCAGTGAATTTGAAATAGATGTGCTTTGTTTAAAAGTGTATTGAAAACTACATTTTACAGTGTGATCATTAATCCATTAAGAGCGCAATTTTTTCATGCAATTCATTCAGTCCCAGAGCTACTTGAGAATGGTAAACAGGCCACGTGCAAAATTTTATTTTTTCTAAGCATTTGACAGTACAGATTGCCCAAATCCATTTGGGTTCATATGCCCATCTGGCTTTTGCCTGTCTCCAGTTGCATTAGTGCTCCATTATAGCTATTAGGAGACATTTCAAAGAGCCTGTAGCTGCACTGATACAGTCTCAATATTTCCCCTTTGTACATTTTGTTTCTTTCGTCCCTGACCTGGGTTGACATCTGAGTAAGATTTGATTGCATTGTTCTTCTTTTCTTGTTTCTGACCCCTTTAAGCAAACCTTGATGCAACAAGGATTGTGTAACTTAATTATCTCCCTGTGTTGTTGCTATGCTTAATACACTGTCAATGTCAATGCAGATCCAGTTAAAGTACAGAAATATTATATATGTGACAAGCACTTAACAATCAGGACATCAATGTATATTTTGGCAAAAAATCTCTGAGCAGATAAATAAGATGACCAATGCAGATAAAACAGATTATCTGGGAATGTTACTAACACTATAACGCTTGTACTTAATAGCCTTGCAAATCTATATTCTATTTGATTAACAGATTAGTTTAAATTGTTCTCCTGTCTTGTTTTCACAAAAATGCTGCTCAGCATTACTATAGGGATCAAATATTCCATGATGAGCTATGAGAGGAGGATGTCTGAAGGAAAGATCAAGCCTGCCATGAAATACATGAACTTTGGTGAAGATAATAATCATGATTAGAATTGCTTCCTGTTGAAAGTCATTATAGAGGGTATATGGGGAACTGCTATAAGAAAATGGATGGAATCACATTGAAAGATTTTAGTCCAATTGTTCTGTTTGCATTACAACTCACCATGCTGTGTATGAATACATTTCATACACAATACAGTACATTTTGACCAACATTTATAGTAGCTTTAGCTGTAAAGATCAGCCTAACAAGTTAGAGAGCAAACATTTAACTTCCTGTTGCCATCTGTATTCATTTAATGTTAGTGTTCTCAGTGTTAGCTATTTTTTTTCAAACCACACGAAGCTGCTCCACCTAAATTACACTTAAAACACACAGGATTGATTCACCTTAAAGTTAAAGAATGTCCTAAAGATCAAATCTAGTGAAAATTGTGTATTTTATTACTATAACTTGTTAAAAAAACATGTTAGGATTTTTATTTAATGTTCTGTGGTGGATCACTACTCTGTCCAGCACAGTGATGTGGTGGTTTGCAGTCTTATTTTGAATTCCAGGTGGGGGCCTCTGTGTGGCGTTGGCATGTTCTTCTCCTTGTATCTGTGGGTTCTCTCTGGGTACTGTGGCTCCAACCATCCAAACTGCATGTTGTGCTAAATAAGGACTCAAAATTGGCCTTGGGAGTGAGTGTGAATGAGCATGGTGGGACATATAGCAACATATGGATACTTGAAGGGTGCAAATACAACTTTAGGGACCGAATACAAATCTTACAAATGATTGACCAGTTTATTTTGAAACTAGTTTAGAAGAGAAACATGAATGGTTGTGTTTCTCCAATGAAAATCATTCAGACTTTTGCAGACTGACACTAATAAAGGAAGGTGCTGTTTGTGGCTGGCATTTCCTTCCTTTTGCATAATACATGGCAATGTGATTGACACTTCAACAGTCCTCACCGTCGTCTGTTTTGTTTCAATGTCAAGCTCTTGAGCCAGAACTCCTTTTATCTTATTCATGCCTTTCACAAAAAGCACACATCTCACACAAAAAAAGGTAGATTGGGTAACTGAATTTGAGGACAACTGAAAAATCTTTCTTTCGTCATGTCTGTCATTTTTCTTTTTTTTCTTTCTATTTTCCTTTTATTCTTTTGGTCGAGACAATGACAGGGCAAGTTGAAAAGCAGTACAGATGGAAGACAAGGAGCCAGGGAGCAACATTGTCTGGGAGCACAGGAAAAGGGCATAGAAACGCAGAGGGGGAGAAAAAAAGGTTACACTTTCAGCATTCAAAAGCCTTAAAACGACAGAGAAAAGCCAAGGAATTTTTTTCAAAGGAATACTAACATTTATCGATGGGAGCAATGGCATGACGAAGTATGCAATAGGAGTAGTGTTTCCAGTAGTGTAAATGGCTCATTAAAACAGAATGGAGTCAAGCTTTAATATTGAACTCTTTAATAAGGCAAATGTTTCTGACATGCTTTAGATAAGCGTGACACACGTATAGCTGTAATGGATTGTGAATACAACAAGGTCATTCCAGACACTGGAAGGACAGTCTGCTCCCACTGTATTTACATTTTTACTGGGGACCACACCCCAACAACATCTTTAGTTGTTTCCTCGGTGGTACAGTGTACTCAGACACAGATATGATGTGACACTATGATACAATGTGACAGAGGGTGACCTCTGTTGTATAATGTGTAGGCTAAGATTTTGAAGCCAAAATAAATAAATAAAAATACAAACAAATCCAAGTGTCTATTGTAATACGTGGTCCACATTGCATCGTCTATCAAATGCAGGTCAGCTAAATGGGTTGCGCCGCAGGTGTCCATAACCTACGTGAAATTACAGGTCCTCATATAACTAGCATAATAACGATGTTACATCACCATGGCAACACTGTGCGTCGTTCTATAGTGTCCAGTTATCGCCATGGTAACTGTCTCCAACTGAAATTTCTGGCGCCGAATGAGAAATGGCTCTCAGTGATGGGTTAATGTGCAAAACACGAGGACAATGACAGCTACAAACCATTTAACATAAAGAATGATAGGCGTGGTGCACAGTGGCCGTCTGAAATTCTGTTTTTTTTTTCTTTGACAGGCTTTTTCTCATTCAATAAAGACGTCACTATCGGCAATTGGGAATTCACTGGCAGTTGTCTGTTCAACTTGATGCCAGACAAAACACCAACCTTAATAAAGAACGCAGTGACAAATCCTAATTGATGCAAAACAGGAGCGTCAGGCGCAACCTGACACTGTCACATAAAGCACCAGTGAAGGCAGTAAATGTTCATCCATGTCTAACGTCTGCATTTTAAAGCACTTTTTTTTCTCCTTCAACCTGTGGATCATTTTATGTAGCACGAAGCAAAGCAGATTGGATTTATTTTCCATTCCCAATAACCGTGTCACTGATAATAACAGTCGAATTAGATTCAATATTGTGTTCAATTCAAGGAATCGCGACGCAGTTAAATAAAAATCAGATAATCACGCACTGAGCCGTGTTTGCACGCACGCTGCACCTCGTAACCGGTGCCAACAGACACACCCTCATCATGAGCATGGTAGGGTAAGTAACGACAAGCAATATTAATGTCTAATATACCAATAGCACAATCTAAAACACAAAATATGCGCTTATCAACTCACCCTTTGTTTCACCAGTAGACATTTGGCCAACAAACTATCCACGCTCAGGAAAATATGTCTCCACGTCTCATAGATTTAGATGAAATAATTCTCATCTGTCAATATGTTGTCCCTGTCAGTGTACTTCTGCAGGGGGAAGGGAGGTGATGGGGAACAGTGTGGCTCCAGGAGTGACTTCTTAATCAGTGCGTTGAATCCTCTTTGTGGCTCCGGTTTTTCTCTCTCTCCTTCTGTGCACACACCCTCCACAGATGGGAATTATGTCCACACATGAATAAAATCTAACAAAGATTTTTGCGATTTTTATTATTATTGCACAATGTATAATTCTCTTCAACTCCATACACGTAGGTCAAACTATTGATTTATGTACGTGAACAAAAGCAAAAGAATACATACGTGGCTTATTATGTAAGAGGGTAAACTTCTGAAAATATTTGGTTTAAATCACACTGTAAGTATAGGTGGATGTTTAGGTGCCAGTAGCTAATAAAGTGTGTAAAGTATCTTCTTCTCTCTCATAAAGCATTGAAAACAGAAGATACTCAGAAAAAGAACGCATATGATGAATCAGAAATGTAAAGGTTTTTACCCTTACATTAATCACAAAGATCACAGTTTATCTGATGGTGTGTCATTGACTCAAATTGGATAAAGCAAGAGAGACGTAAGTATCTTTTAAGCTCAGTAAACGAACGAACGAACGTTCATCCTAGTATGAGGAGAAAACCAAGAAACAAAAAATACACAATCAAATCCCAAACACAAGACAAAGCTCAGTGCATGAATATGGTTTTTATAATGTTTAGCGTTATATACTGCATATAAAACAAAATTATTTCTGTGCAACCTGTACGTTTGTCCATGCTTCAGTTCCACCATATACATTCTTCTGTCAGCAGTGTGTCGTCATGGATTCATTCTTCCTTGTGAAAGACTGCTCATCTATCAATCCATGATTACTTCATAAAACAGTCTTTATTGGGGAAGATGTGAATCAAAACGCCAGTAGGAGAGGAGATGAAATCAAGGTCTCTCTAGCTGCAGGAGACACCAGAAAGGTTCGTAAGTCCCAAACTGGACAGGCTTTTCCAATAACATGCTTCTGGAAAATGTTATTAATTTGACTTTAATCATTCTTACCTGCATAGTGCGATGGATCCAGGTCAGAAGTTGACTGACTTTGGCATAAACTCCCGGTTTGTTTCTTCTACCACAGCCAACTCCCCAGCTCGTGATCCCCACCACGTACCAGCGGCTCTCTCCTTTACACACCAGAGGTCCGCCGCTGTCCCCCTGAGCCAGCACCGATCATAATTATTCAGCAAAAGAAATACTTTCAAATTTGATAAGATGTTCCAAACAGAGGTAATTCATCACTGTATAACTCTTGTGATATCGACTGCCGACCTGACAGGAGTCTTTGCCCCCCTCCAAGTTTCCAGCGCAGAGCATGTTCTTGGTCACTGCACCATCATACACACTCCGACTGTTACACACTGTTGTGTCAATGAGGTCCACGGTCACTTCCATAAGATCCTTGGAGACCGTCCCTTTTTCAAGAATGTTCAAATAGAAGCAAAGCATAAATTTGCCATCAATCTTTAAGATAGAAAGTTGGAAAGTGACATGAATTTCATTGTCACATGTGGATTTTAACTGTTTGAAAGGCACAGTTTCAGTCGCAGGGTCCACAGGTGGGAATGGCTGTGATACAACCTAGGGAAGATGGACCATGCTGCATCTTGACTACTAGTGAAGCAATACGTAAGACCCCATCTTCACATTTTGAAATGAATGGCTTTCTTTAACCATCTTCCCTGTCCAGAATGTTTATGGTCCTTAAATGTGTGTATCTTTTCTTAGAGATGCAGGTTAACTGCTCAGTCTTGGCCTGAAGGGTCAGCTGTCCTTGTGCCATGCACTTGTGGAGCTGTTTGGTCTCTCCTCACTGCACTACAGCATGATGTGCTGTTTTTGTTTGGGTGTTTTGTCCTTGGGGTGCCCAGCCTCTCTCTGAATGGGTTGATGGGTTTAATGTGCACTGAGATGCCATGTTTAGAGAAAATCTTTGAGAGTTTCTCGGATGTTCCCACTATTCTTGGACAGTGATTTTTGGTCTAGACGTGTTTGCTCGTTTTTACAAAAGCCCTACTGACATTTCCACAGCTTTGAATTGCTTTCTTCAAGTGTTGATGTTTCCCTCCACTGTTGATGAGGTGTTCTGATGACCCCCAGCGTGTGCTTTTGCAGATGAAGTCATTAAAAAAGTAGGTACCGATCTGCTTGTGTGGTATTCTTGTAATTGTCTGTGTTAAACATCCATGACCTGGATGACTGAACCACAGATTAATTATTCAGCAATGTTCCTTTAAAGGGTTTTATGTGTATTATTGTTTTCAGCCTCCCTGTTACTTATCTAATGATTATCTGCCTTATTGCAGTTATTTTCACAAACGTGCTTGTCTGTTCTTATGATTGGAGTGAGCAAAATACACGTGTGTGCTCCCATTTGGTCTCACTTCAAAATCCACTATAGACTTTACCTTGACAAGCACATTCAGCTGTATATAAAAGAAGGAACATGCACAAAAGAGGTCAACAATTAATCTGTATTATAAACTATCGTTTTAATTTCTGAAGGACCCCTTCATTCCACCTACCTGAGCCTGCCTCAGTGGTTCCAAAGCCAGAAGTCCAGCATTTCGTTCCCTGGATAAACTGCTGGTTTAAAGCTGGCAGACAGGCTGGTTGAACTTTATCTAAAATACACAAAAACATAAGTTTCACCACTGAAAGTCCCAGTCCTACACGTTAGGTTTTCTCATCACTGACACAGGCCGAATTTTTTTCATTGTGTTTAACTGACAACCTGTTCATATTTTTTATTTCACTCTGAACATATTCAATTCTTATATCCAAATATAAAATCCAATCTGTTTATAAGAGTCTGCGCAGCGTGAATACAACTACAGATTTCTTTCAGATCATTATGTAACTTGCTATCGCTTTCTCCATCATCAGATGAATAAAAAAAACTGATATTTTATACGATTACAAAAAAAAAAATCCCCCGAGCAGGTAGGTTGGAGGTTTAACACCTCGTCAGCCCTAAGGAGGATTATAGAATGTAACATTATGTTTTTTCCCAGAGCAGCATTGTACATTGTATGATCAACTTGTGTTTGATGCTGGTTACTCTCACTTTATGAAGTCTGCTTTAAATACAAGTATTACATTTTGCTTCCTGTGGTCAAGCCTAAAAATGAGAGATTCTGACAAGTAGGAGGTCTGACCATCTAAGAAATGCCATTTTACTTTCAGAAAAAAATTATCCAAAAAAGTACAGGTATTGGAAGTGGTCAAGGTGCATATACCCTGTACTTACTAATGTTATATAGTATAATATAGACTTTATATAAAGTTTATTATGTTTCAAACCAATTAAAGGTCCTACATAAAAAAATCATCCCTCATGGATCAGACCTATTGTTTAGTCAAAATAATGGAATTGTAGCTGTAGTCAGAATGACTGAAAATATTTCACTAACCAGTAAAAGTAACTGGAGATGTAAGTTTGAGTAGAGCAATGTCTTGGTCATTTGTTTTGCTGTTGTAGTTCTCATTGAGAAGGATCTTCTTAACCAGGTAAGGCTGAGGTAATCCATCTAAAGATACAAATCCCCCGTACGCTTTCCAGTTCCCTGGAGAGAGAGCCGCCGAGCTGGCACAGTGTTACAGAGATATACTGTTTAATGTAAGGAAACGAACCGGTACCATTTCAATTCAACACCACATACCACATTAAAACATAAGTAAAATGTCAAGTTTATCAGTAATTTTCAGGTCATTCTACCCTCTAAACTCTCACGCTTTTTGTGTCAGTTACCTTGGAAAACAATGGGCAGCGGACAGCACAAAATCTGGGGAGATCAGAACTCCTCCACAGACGTGGCTTCCTCTGTAGTGAAGCGATACTTGCCACGGCCACTGTCCCTCCTTAGCTACGCTGCCCCCAATGATCCTGGATGTCGACTGCTGCTTACCACAGTCTAGGAAGAAGAGTTATTACACACTGTCATTAAATCAGTAGTGATCCCGTGACGTCCTTCATTAACAAATTATTAGAATGTTGTGGCAGGAATATTGAATTACTCATCGTACCTGCCTGTAAGTATATTTAATGTGTATATAATTAAGTCTGTAAAAGTCCCTAAGAGTAATGAATGAGCCCAAATTTGGCAGTTTTGATGTTTGCCACATAAGAGGTGAGCCAAGGGGTGGATGCAAGGAGAGTTAAAATTTACTGTTCCACATTAGTGGCAGTAGCATTAGACAAGAGAATAGCTTTTAAAGTAAGAAGTATATCACACAGCATGGCAACCAAAATAATAGCTTCAATAGCACCTTTACACAATTATAAGTCACATGGACTTCACAGTATTGCATTTTCAGCCTATATAGTCATTTCTGCAAAAGCTTGTCTGAATGTTAAAAAAAAAAACATTTGTGTTTTGTTTTTTATGGCAACAGATGGATGGTGTGAATTTGTTTGCACCATGTATATGAGGCAGAGTCACAGTGAGAGAAAGAAAATACAGGCTTGTGTATGACACATGACTGCAAGAACAGATGGAGGCTCCTTACCCACACACTGCAGGGAGACAGTCTCCTGATTTGGACAGGAAGAACTGGAAAAAGCATGTCATTTAACATAAGTGCTTGCAGCTAAGCAAGATATTTCATATGATGAAAAAACGAGGCTCTGCACCTGACATTTACCAGACCCTGGATAGGGGAAGATGATTTGCTGGTCAGTGTTAAAGCTGTTGTCTGCTGAGATTGAATTCCTTTGCTCGTATAAGATCTAGAGAGAGAAAGAAAGAAAGAAAGAAAGAAAGAAAGAAAGAAAGAAAGAAAGA